CCTACCTGTTGGTGGGGCTGAGAGGCCAGGATCCAGGACACCCTAATTTACATAATCACCCCCTGCCTTCCCCACGGCCTCCCAGCTTTCTGAGTAACACCTGACTCAGACCGTGTAGCTCAGCATCCTCAGCCCTCGCCCTCTCGGCCCTGGCCTCAGCCCCCTCCTCGCCTCCACGCACAGGTGGGCCTGGACCTCAGCACCGGCTGGCGGTTCAATGTGCAAGCGGCAATTTAAGGGCAGTGACAGCACATGGACTTCGACGCTACAATGAAGAGGTCCGACCCCGGCCAAGGGAAGAAGGTGGTTTGAATGCACAAATGGAGGGAGCACTTGCGTTTGGATTTTAATCTGATCCCCAGCTAGTCTCAGTGAGACCAAGCAAATGCCCTGCACTTCCTTCACGAGCCTTGTCTCTCAGGAAAACTGTGTGCAGATTTGTGGGAAGGGAGCGAATGACCTGAGGGAATAAGGAAAGGAGGCCTAGAACTCAGGAAGAGAAAGCATTCCCAAGTCTCCCACCTTCCAGAAAACTGTATTGCTCTTAAGGGATCGCATCAAATTCCAGAAATGGAAGGAACTTGAGAAACCTCAAATTCTCCCCTCTCCTCATCCCTGACAAACAAAACAAAACAGAACCGTAGCCCCTGCTTTAAAATACCCCTCCCCAAATCCCTCAAGACAGAGAACATTCTACTCTCTCCGGCAAGACGATCCCTGCAGGGTAGTGGGATCCACCGTGTATTTCTCTTCCCCACAGCAATCCAAGACCAACATTCCCCTTCAAGAACCCGAGACCTTGGTGCAAAATGGTTATATAGGGCCCTCGGCTTCCTTTTGTCCTCCTGTGTCCACGCTGCTGCTGAATCAAGACCAGCGGACAGTGGGGACCCCCACACATGGCCTCCAGGCCTGGAACCAAGCCTCACTAAGTGCCCCAATTTCAAAGCTTTTGAGTTTGGAGTTGAGCAGCCTTTCACGTAGGCCACACCTTCGGTTCACGTCACCCGCTCCCGCGTTCTCTCACACCTGACTCACATTCTCAAGCAGGCGGAAGACTTCTCTAGATAATCCATGCAATTAATTTCCACTGTCTCCCACGCAGAGTGAAGACCAAGAGGCCACACGTGGTACCCGGGGCCTCAGAGACGGAGGAACCCATTTTAGGATCTGACCAGAAGGCTGAGGAGGTGCCCAGGGCCAAGTCCCCAGAGGCCGAAGACAGGGCAAAGGGACGATCTTCTTCATGTGCTTGAATCCGCCTCCCTTACTTTGAGCAACTGTCACTCACTCCAAAATAACTCACCCTCCCAACCCCCCACCATTTCTCCTCCTTCCCACCCTGACTCAGGATGCAAGAGTGAAGAGCGGTCCTGTGTGAAACGCATGACTGGTGACGTGCCTACGCTTTCTACAGCAACAACAATCTCCTCAGGCCTCTCCACCATCACTCCCCCCCAAGATTCTCAAGGCCCCTGTCTGTCCTCTGGCCTTCCCAACCCAGCCAGTCCTGAGCCAACAAGTCCCCAGCCACTCCCAACTCCGCGCCAAGCCAGAGAAGGTGAAGAAACAGGAATGACTGGTTCCACCCTTCCTCACCCATTCCTAGGCTTCCATTCCCCTGGGCTGGGCACCCCACCCACCTCTCAACACCCTCCCGCTCTATCAACTATGTGTCTCACACTTCCCTCACACTCAGCAACTCCACTCTCTCCTCCCTGCAACATCTTTGATGACAGGTCAACGAAATTCAGTGCACGTTACCAGCGAGACACTGAAGGGACAAACAGACAATGGCCAGGCCGTGTATGAAAATAGCTGACCCACGTGGATCTGTGGGTCACCAGCCACCAGCCCAGGAAGCCAAACCACGAGCTCTGTAGCGGTAAGACCCCAACGGTCAGGCTCGGGTCAACAACAGCTGGCTTCCCTAATTGTGGCCCTCACTTTCACACTCAGGACCAACCCGAGAAGGCCCAATACACTCCCCCAGCCAATCACGTAGAACGGCTGCTGTGGGTAAGCCACCTCCAGCCTCTCCCTGCCCACAGCCTGGGCCCAGGGCACCCCGGAAGCCTTCCCCTGTGACCCACTATCAGCTCTTACACTCATCTGCCTGCCTTTGAGTCGGATAAATGTCGGTGATGCTGACGGGCTGTCCCGCCAGAGCCGGCTCCGTATCACCAGCCCTTGCCCGCTCCCACCTGGGTGGCCTTCACTTACTCTCACGCCAAATTCCTCATACAAGCCACCGGCCCCCACCCACGGGAAGCTCTTGGTCCAGTAAACAACTGCACTGCGACATGGCATGGAAGTGTGTGGGGTGAGGGTGCCGTACATGTACGTGGGGCCCCTACAAGATCCCGGGCCCCGGATCCCTGGGGCTGCAAGGGAACTAACTGGACAGCTTCCCGGGAGGAGGAGGAGGGAGGATGACGGGGCTGGTTTTGAAATATGAATAGCCCTCGGACGCCTGGGTGGCCCAGCGGTTGAGCGTCTGCCTTCGGCTCAGGGTGTGATCCCAGGGTCCTGGGATCGAGTCCTGCATGGGGCTCCCTGTAGGGAGCCTGCTTCTCCCTCTGCCTGTGTCTCTGCCTCTCTCTCTCTGTATCTCTCATGAATACATAGATAAAATCTTAAAAAAAGAGAAATGAAGAGCCCTCACTAAGTAGACATCTGTGGGGGAGGGAAGAGCAGTCCTTCTCCATTCTTCCTCCCTCCCCTCGCAGAGACTAAGCTTTCCCCCTTGCAGGCCAATTTCGCTTTTGGACATGCTCCATTAAATACCTCATTTATTTCTGCATTTTCAAAGTCTCCTTCTCCTGAATAATGCCCTTCATGCTACAGTATGCTTGTGTCTGCTACCACCCCGGCCAAAAAAAAAAAAAAAAAAAAAAATTCTTGCACTGACCTGGCCAGCCCAACTCAATACGATCTTCCCTTTCCTTCTAACTTCTTTAGAGAGTCCCTTTAAGAGCCAACCAACACCTCTGCACTCCCTAGTGTCCCTGCACCTGGCTCTCACCCTCACTCTCTGCTAGCCCTGGCCTACAAAGACCAGAGCCACCAAATTCAAAGCTTTTTTTCCCAGTCTCCTCTCCCATAGCTCCCTGTCCGCTGGTTTCCTTGGAACTGGACCAGCCCAGTCTTCCTCCCACCTGTGTGGCCACTGCTCTTTCTCTTCCATTTGCACCTGCCATCTAAAATGAGCCTTCCCCCCCAATCTGGCCTTGGTCTCCTTCTTCTCATCAACCTCGAGGCTTCAAGGGACCACCAAGTCTCCACCACTGTCACACACCTCTTGTCCACAGTCTTAACTCCTCATTGAGTTCACCTCTTCAAGAAGCCCTAATATCACCTCAAATTCTGGATATCCAAAGTGACTTTTCCTTCTTCCCAAATCTTATTCCTCCTCCTACAGAACCGTATATCCAAGTCACACAGTCCCCAAATCTCTTTGTCCCCTTTCTCTTCTGTCCACCATGTCTGTTGTCAAGTCCCGCGGTTCCATTGCTGCTACCTTACTGTCTACATCCAATCCCCTTCTCCTGCTATCTTTCTGGTGGATCCAGTCCTCAGAACTTCTAGGCCTGCTGTTTCAACTTCCTCAATGGTTCTAAGCCTCCACTCATTTCCCACATCATCCCCTGGAAGGAAATCTGCCCTTAATAGAACCCGATACTTCAAGGTTGTAAATGAAGAAAGGATGCTACCTTTGTTTCACCGTCTAATCCCAGTAATTCAGTGGGACCATGGTGGACCGTTTCCTAGGCTAGAGAGCTTTACCACAGATTCTGAAATAGGCCCCACACATCTACAGGTTTTTATACACACTGCCGTGGGAGACCAAGTCAGGGAAGGAAGTCAGGAAGCCTACCAGAGTATCTGAGGCACAAAAATGGCCACCCCAGAAGGTTGAGCCATCAAGAGAAACACCCACCAGTGATGGCAAAAGTCCAAAGATGAAAATAATTTGGGGGAACAGGAGTCTGAGCTAGGAACACCCCCCCCCATATCTTCCTACATGGAAGTTCCCTCCCACTTCAGGATGAATGGTTTTACTAAGAAAGCTGGAGGGTCTCCTGTGCCCGCTCTGTATATCACTCCTTGTACAAAAGCCTGTGGTGACTTCCAGGGGCTTCCCACCAGCCGGATACCTTGCTCTGCCACCAAGGCCTTCTGCCTTCTGGTTAATCCAGTGCCCTTCCAACTCCATTTGCCACCTGTCTCCTAGGTGCCACCGGCCCCATGCTTTTATACTTCCGTGTGCTTCCTCACATTGTCCCTTCCATGTGGCATTCGTGCTTTGCGCACAGTTACGGAGAGGGGCCTCTGCCCTCTGCCCCCGGCTGGGATGCCTTTTCCTCATCTCCCATCCCCAGTATCACCAAACCTACCGGCTCAGTTCGAGTCCCTCATCCACACGGAGTCCCTCGGCCGCCAGAGCCCGACCCAGAATGAATCCTGCCCTCCTCTGACCCCGTGGCCTTCTCAGCGCTTGCGGCCTTCTGCCTTCGACTCCAGTTACTTGGGTAGATGGGCAAACGCCACTTGCCCTACGTGTTTGACTTTGTCCCACCACACGTGACACTGCGCTCCAGTTCCCTGGAAACGGATGATTTGCCGCCTCCAGACCCTGAGCTCCACGAGGGCCAGCGCCGCGACCTCGTGGCCTGCCCGGGCAGCAGCTGAACCAATGCCTGGATTGGGGGGTGCTTTACTCCCGGAATCTTCCCGGCACTTCTCGCTCACCACGTTAGCATCTGGCTTTTCGTTTAGGTGGAAAAAAAGTTAAAAAGTAGAAGGAAAATTGCTTCGGGTCAAGCACGGGTCGTGCAAAAGCCACAGCAGGGCCGGACGCGTGACAGTGCGGCGGGACCGCCCTTGCACGCCCTTGCACGCCCTTGCACGCCGGGCGCGGCTGTGCCCCGGGCTCGGGCTGCGCCCCCCCCCCGCCTCGCCCCAGGCCCCCCCGCGCCCGCGCCCCCGCCCGCACTCACCGTGGGCGCCCCGCGCTCCGCCCGCGCCCCGCGCCAGGCCGAGCAGCAGCACGAGCGGCAGCAGGCGGCGGGGCGGGCGGCCTGCACCCCGGGGGCCCCGGCCCATGCCGCCGCGTCCCTGCCGCTCCCGCCTCCTCCCGCCGCCCCGGGCGCCGAGATAAGGCGGCGGGCTCCGCGGGGAGGGGGCCGGCCCGGCCGCTTCCGGCGCCGCGCGGGGTCCCGGGGAGGCGGGGGCCGGTGCACCTGCTGCGCGCCCGGGGGACGCGGCGGGCACAGCCACCGGGCCCGGCCCCTCCTGGGGACCGACGTCCGCGCGCTGCAGGCTCGAAACCCGAACGCGGGGTGGGAGCCCGCCTGGGGCTGGGGGGCGGGGGGAGCGCCCCGGGGGGGGACAGGTGGAGCGGGAGTCTCGGAGGGGGCAAGGGGCTCCAGGGGCGCAGGGGGAGGGCAAGAAGCGGGTGACAGGTGGCGCGGGGCGGCGCAGCTGACCGGGGCCCCCGTGCACCGAGGACGCGGGGCCTGGGGCGTCGGGAGCTGCTTGAGGAAGTGAGCTAAGCCCCGGGGGCTGGAAAGGATGTGGGAGGGGAACCTAGGCCGCGGGAAGGGCTTCTGCAGAGGCCCGGGAGCCCCAGCGCTTTCTAGAAATGGGGAGGACCTCCGTGGGGGGGGGGGGGAACCAATGGCCGGAGAGAGCCGTTAGCTGTGCAGCTAAGGTGGACCTCATAGACCGAGGGCAGGGGCTGCTCAGAAGCGGTAACAGGGCTGCAAGCAGCGTGACCTCATCCAGAAGGGCTCCAGGTCCTCCCCGTGGGACTGGGGCTGGGGCGGCTGCACGAACCCGGGCAAGAGAGGACACGCCCGGGAGCGGGGCCTTGGCAGGAGAGCGGCGTTGGGTGGAAGCCGCTGGAGTTTATGACCAGTAGAATGTGGGGGAAAGGAAGGAGAAATTACAGGCGTCACCTCAATTTCTGGTTTGGGCAGCTCGGTGGGTGATGATGGTGATGGGAGTCACTGAGATGCAGACCCAAGGGACCGTTTGCAAGTTGGGGTGGGGAGAGGCTGCAAGGGAGGGGAGGGGCGGGGGAAGGAAAGAAGTTCCAGTTTCAAGGCTTTGACCTCCGCAGGTCTGGCCAAGAGCAGGGCTCCCCTCTACTTCACCCATATCCTCACTTTGCTTTCTCTTTCCACCATGAGCCTGCTCTAAATCTAACCACCCGTGAACACACCCATATAAGGGCCAAACTTGTTGTGCAGCCTTAAAAAGACGTAGTTAAAAATAAACTGCCTGGCGTCTTTTGCAGCGGGCTTTCTTGCTAATTAATTTTTGTTCAGCAAAGATAAGAGGCTGCTTTGGGGGGGGGGAGTAGATGGGCAGTGGGGTTACAGTGGTCTATCCTCTGTAATTTAGACGAAGGTTTTGTTAAGCTCAACTCTTCCTGAACTTTGAAACCATGTAATTGTTTCAACAAAAATACATTCATGTAGGACCGAAAATACATTCATGTAGGTTATTTTTAAACCAACCTATACTTGTCCTTCACCATCGTGTCCCCTGCAGAGTAAATAAATAAATTTAAATATATTTGTGTGCACGTTTGCGTCTATATACACGTATTTTTTTTTTTAAACTGGTGATACAGGGGGAAATAGTCTAAAACTTGGAACTGGGCAAGTGTACCAGGTCTTTTCAGTGGGGTGCTGGGTGTTGTCTGGTAACCCTCCTGGGGATTATCTAATTCTATAGAGTTGTGCACTTTGATAGACTTTCTATTGACGAGGCTATTTGATAACTCTTACAGGTATGGATAGAAGTTCACTTGCAGAAAACTGATAATGCAAAAGATTCTTGTCCATAGCAATGCAAATTAATTTTTCCAATAGAGCTAGAAGAGATTCCTGTCAGGTGAAAATAAGATAAATCTAATAATAAGATCTTGTCTTATATGATGGCAACCGATTTTGCATTTAGCAAATTTATTTTATCACACCTAACAGAAATACATGTATATGTACAGTATATTCTTCAAATTCTCCTTTGAACCTTGACATCTTACTAGTATCCTTTGAAGTCAACATCTTGCTGAGTCTCTCATGAATTAATTAGTTGGATAAAATCTTAGGTTTTCTTTTTGTCTTTGCATGAATCAGGTTTTAAATATTTTCAAAATTTTATGTTAGCACAATACATGTACTCATTCTACATTAGATCATGTGACTCTCATCAGTTCTTTTTATTGGCTCGTTTTGTTGCTTTCAGACAAATAGGGTTATTATTTTTTTTTGTTTGTTTGGTTGGGTTTTTTTTTTTTTTTTGTAAAAATAATTACTTCTTACCAATGGTGAGCTCATGGAATCACAGAATGAAAAATTATCTCCTGGTTGGTATGTGTCACTAGAATTAAAACAGAGTATTAAACCAGTGTTATATTTGCAGCAGTGGGATTATTGCTGAGAAAATCTTTAGCTTAAGAAAAATGTTCCTCTTTTAAGAGAGCATGGCCAATACAGCAACATCTTTTTTTTTTTTTTAACATCTTAAAGAGATTTTAGAGAGAGCTCTTTTTGTCCATATCTAGATTTCAACGGCTTCATCAAAAACTTTTCACTTTTGGTTTCAAGATGACATTGTAACTCCTGAAAATTCTCTTTCAGTAAAGTGGCCAAAGATACACACACACACACAATTAAGTATGCAACAGTGCTTTCAACCAGAAAGGATGACATCAATGAACCAGACAGCTTTGAAGAATGTATTAGGTTACGTTTGCCACACATGTCCTCCACAAAAACATCCACCAAAAGAGACAGGAAGTTGAGTAAAAAATATAAAAAAAACATGCAATTTAAATTTTTTAAAAACTATAGGTGTACTTCATTATTTGTACATATTAATATAATGTGCAGATTATATCATTTTTTAAAATGTAATTCAGAACCACTATATAGGAATTACTGAAAAAAATGCAAGGTACACTTCTTACCAATTCAAAGTATTTTATTTTGCTCATCTGTGTACATTTTGTGCATTGCAATCAGCTCCTTCTTCAGGCCTCAGGCTTCCCAAATAACAGTTTCCTGGCTCTCCAAAAAGCCTGTCAGTTTCCACATTTTTTTAAATCATTTTAAGGGGCATCTGGGTGGCTCTGGCGTTTAAAGCATCCAACTTTTGATTTTGGCTCAAGTCATGATCTCTGGGTTGTGAGATCAAGCCCTGTGTAGGACTCTGAGCCGGGCATGGAACCTGCTTAATATTCTCTCTCTCTCCCTCCCTCTGCCCTTGCCCCTGCTTGTGCCTGCTCGTTCTCTCAAAATAAATAAATAAATAAATAAATAAATAAATAAATAAATAAATAAAATAAAAATAAAAATAAAAATTTAAAAATCATTTTATTATTTATTTTCTAAAAATTTTAAGTAATCTCTATTCCCAGTGTGGGGCTTGAACCTACAACCTTGAGATCAAGAGTCACATGCTCTACTGATTGAGCCAGTCAGGTGCCTCTAAAAAATATCATTTTAAGCTTCATTTTTTAAAAAGTTTTTTATAGGGGCTCCTGATGGCTTAGTCAGTTGAGGATCCTAATTCTTGATTTTGGCTCAGGTCGTGATCCCAGGGTCCTGAGATCAAGCCCTATGTTGGGCTTCACAGTGGGCATGGAGTATGCTTGAGATTGTCTCCCTCTGCCCCTCCCACTCACTCCCACACACATGGGCACACACCCACTATCTCTCTCTGTCAAAATAAATAAAGTCTCTTTTTAAAAGTTTTTTATAGTAATTTAGTTATCAGAGGGTCTTTGTATAATTAGACAAAATGCTTAAATCACAACTAAAATATTGAGATTATTGACCAATATCTCAAGTGTTCTTAAGGGACCTCAAACAGGTATACAAGATAAAAAGAGCTTCTCAAAGTGACCCCTTCCACAACAAAATCATCCTACCTTTTGGAAGCACAGAGAAGTTTCTGATAGTTCTAGGATTGCTGATTTGTTCCTGTCTCTTTTATCAACATTAAGAAATACTGACGTCTGTCTTCATGTATGTTGCCGTCCAACTGAAACGTTCAACGACAACTTGTACATTTGACAACTTACAAGTTCATAGCATCATCATTCACAATAGCCAAAGGGTTGAAACAAGCCAAATATCCATGACAGCACAAATGGAGAAACAAAATGTGGTATATCCATACAAGGGAATATTGTTCAGCCATAAAAAGGAAGAAAATTCTGACTTATGCCTCAATGTGGATGAACCTTGATGGCATTACGCTAAGTGAAATAGGCCACTTTTAAAAGGACAAATATTGTATGATTCTGTTCATATGAGGTAGTTAGAATAGTCTAATTCATAGATACTGAAAGTAAAAGGGTTGATGGTACAGGGGTACTGGGAGTTAGTATTTAATGGGTAAAGAGTTTTGCCTTTACAAGATGAAAAAAGTTCTGTGGACGGATGGTAGTGATGGTTGCACAACAATGTGAACGTACTTAATGCCACTGAACTCTACATTTAAAAATCTTTTTTTTTAGGTTAATGATGGGCCACCTGAATAATACTTAGTTAAGCATCTGACTCTTGTTTTTTTTTTTTTTTTGAGTTTTCATTTTATTGAGGTATAATTGACATGGAACATTATAATAGTTTCAGATATATAATGTAATGTATTTGTGTATATCAGCAAAATGATCACTGCAATAAGTCTACTTAATGTTCATGTTTTTCTTGTGATGAACACTTTTAAGATCTATACTCTTAGCAGATTTATGGTAGCAATTTAGTATAAATAATATATTTTTTTAATTTTACTGTATTTAAATTCAATTTGCCAACATAGAGTATAACACTCCGTGCTTGGAGACTTTGTGGGGTTTTTTGTTGTTTTTCGTTGGGGGGGGGTTCTTTTTAAATATTTTATTTATTTATTCATGAGAGAGGCAGAGACATAGGCAGAGAGAGAAGCAGGCTCCTCACAGGGAACCTGATGGGAGACTCGATCCTGGACCCCGGGATCAAGCCCTGAGCTGAAGGCAGATGCTCAACTGTTGAGCCACCCAGGTGTCCCATTGGAGACTTTGTTAAAAAGAAAACCAAATGTCCAAAATGGTGTCACTCAGGCCAAATTCCCAAATGGGGGCTTAATACCAAATCTAACTGCAGTTTCAAACTCCCCTAGAAATGTAGTCGTAAACGGACAGTCAAGAATTTTCCCAGAAAATTCTGTCGCCTGAGCCCTCTCTACCCCCAAAGGAAGGTGAGATAATCTGCATGATAAGACCCTTTGCCCTTCCCCCTAAGGGAAAGCTACCTT